TAGGGTTGGATAAAAAGTAAAAGAAATAGACACATACTTCTTTTACATAGGTGGGTATAGGATAGTTAACAGTTAACATGTAGCAGGATAACAATAGCAATGAGGGGCTCTGAGTTCTCCTGCTCTGGTGGGCAATTGTGCCCCCAAGGGGTCTGGAAAGAGGAAATTATCCTGACATTCCAAAGGTATGTTATTCTAGATGCAAAACAACAACAACAATAGACAGGCTCAGTTAAAGTAAAGACTGACTTTTGTCAGGAAAGATACCAGTCTAGGACATGACTACCAGCCATGACTCGCTTTCAATTAGAAAGTTTTAATTTCAGACCATCCTATGTGGTTACCTTAGGTCTCTGAGTGGTTGTTTTTAATTTTTTTTAAAAAATTATTGATTTTAGAGAGAGAGGAGGGGGTAGATAATGAGAGCGAGAGAAACGTTGATTTGTTTCACTCATGTATGCATTCATTAGTTGATTCTTTATGTGCCCTGATCTGGGATAGAACTCACAACTTTGCTGTATCAGGACGATGCTCTAACCAACCAAGCTACCCAGTCAGGGCTAGGTCTCTGAGTTCGTAAGGCCCACCATGCAGGTTTAGTATGTTACCCCCTTTTCATCCACACTGCCTCGGAAGGTGTAAGGATGAAATGAATAATGGAATTGAGAACCTGCTCAGAGCCTCCTTGCATATTGTACTCAGTACTGCAAGCACTTCTGTCCTCATTCCCAATATTGGGTGTCTTGAAGGTAGTGGTCAAAGTCAGCTCTGCAAGGACTAGCACAGCTTATGGTGATTCTGTTGCCAGTGGAAATGGGGTCCTTTCGTGGGGCTAAAAAAAAAAGCATTTCCAGGGACCCACACATGGGAAAGTGGGGTGTTGTGGTAAGGTATATTGAAGCTGGAGCAAACACAAAGGACTGTCCTTGGTTCAGCTCTGTCCCATTGTGGGAAAAGTCTAGCCTTTCCTTCCTCAGACCCAGACATAGGGCCAGTGTCTAGAAATTCTGTGCCATGTGAAGACTTAGTCCAGGTTAGGCTCTGTCCCCATCTGGCTCGCGTGGTCTGTTTCCAGCTGTGCTTTGGCTGGTTCAGTGCCCAGGTTCAGGCTTGGAGCCCACACTTGCAGTCTGTGTGGCTGCGGGACCCCAGGTGGCTGCTAGGCCCCCATGGTTGCTATGGAAAGAGAGTACATGAACAAACCCAGCAAACGCATGTTACCTGGCAAGAGAGAGCTTTGTGAAGCTT